TTCTCTTCAGCAATTTTAAGCTCTCTTCCTTCTTTCCCTCCCCCCTTCCCTCTCACTCTCTCATTTTCTCTCTTTCTCTGTCTCTCCTGAAATTGAAGCGATTCGTAAGGATTAGGTTGAATTTCTCGTGTCGCGGACGTGCGAAGATGAGATGCAAAAAAAGAGAACGGGTTCATCGAGCAGCGCGTTCCTTAGCAAATTGCGCGGAATAAATATGACGGAAGCGAATGATTTACCGACTTAATATCCGGCCGGCCCTTTATTTCACTCTTTTGAAGCCGCCGTATTTTCATTGAAGCCGTATTTTCATTGAATTTTTTATCGCTCGGATAAGCATATTACTATCTCGTGCTACGCTCATTAACGCACCAGAGAGATGGCAGAATTTGCAGAATCGTCGCGTTTGCGACCCTTGCTCGCGAGACGCAACCCCGTGCTTATCGCCGCAGCGAGAGAGATCTGTTATTGGATTTCCACCCGGTTGAATCCTTCGCCTGGCATGCCCGTCTTCTCTTCAACGATTAGAAGAGGCGATCCTGAAACGCACTCTGACGACGCTTCGATTTGATGCCGATGATACTTGGAGACTTTTGCCGTAGGGAAACGTGTAATACGATGGGGTGCATAATCAAAGTCGATAAGGGAATCGAGATGTAAAAAGACACCCTGCGTAAATACTTATGACATGCCATCTTAACGTATCGTTTGTCATTTTCCATTTTATAGTTTCTTTTTCAAGAAGCCATCTTGTCAAATTACTACTTTATTTCTATATTCATTTCGTAAATCCCTTTTTATAAAATTTTGTTTATATATTTTATGGATCTTTATTATTATATACCAAGAATTAATTTGCTACGTCTAATCGGTTTAGGACGTACAACTTCCGAATTTTCGAAGTTTTACTTCACAGCATTTAACATGAATGTGAACAAAGCCCAGGGTCGATGTTTATCAGTTCCGTTTATCGCCCATTCAATATGGGACTCATACAAACGTATCTTAAATTGAGGTCGTTCGTTTGTCTCACGATGAAAATCCTCCGAAATTTCTTCGCTGGTCTCCGCGTAGATTTACGAGATTGCGGCGAGCAGACCGGCTTAAATCGAGAAAATTGGCTTCGGGAATGCTGATTATGGGACTCTTGACCTCGCGACAGGAAGAAGAAGATAGATAGAAAGAGACGTTACGACCAGCTCCTCTTTCGCAAAATGAGGACCGTCTTTAGACATACTGTCGTTCTCGGATTGGCTTCGTTAATGCGAATAGTCGTGTTCCACTAAGAACATTGTACAGCAATCATAAGCAACTCGAGAAAGTTTAGAGAAGGGTGGAATACAAAGGGTTAACCTGTTCGTAATTAATTTAATAGGTTGCACATGCTTTATTATAATTTAATACCAAGAAAAGTGTTTTTACTTTTCTCTAATTTTCTTAACTACTTCTTTTTTCCTCTTATAATTTTATAAAGTTACATAAAAGGAAAGACATTTTTTTATATCGACAAAATTTACTTCTTCTTCTGTTGAAAGTTCCTCTGTTGAAAATTAAACATGAGAAACGTATATACAAAATTTATTAATAAAATATCACATTATATTTATAAACATTTTGTTTATATTAAAATGTTTGTTGAAGTAATTTCAGTAACAAAGTTATTTCAGAAACTTGGAAAAGGCCCAATGTGAATATTAAATGAAGATAATTCATAATTGTTGATTGAAGCTGCAACGCGGTATTCCATCATTAATGAGCATTGTAACATCAATATTATCACAAAACTTTGGAACAGCAACATTGACGTTATGAAAGTTCTGAATGGTTGCGTTAAATCGCCGTCAATTTGCATGCAAATTAATGAAGAGGATGGACAAGGATGGACGAACCAAATACGTAGGACAAATATGGAAGTCCTTGTGGACATTAAATTTTTCCTCGAGATCGGTCCGGTGTTACAGATCCGTGAATTAAGATCTCCATATGTCTCTTCAAAGGCGTATATCAAATAGAACGTCCGGCGATTTATACTCGGGCGAATCGGGCCGGGAGTCGTGAGCCGTCGATTAGGATTATCCGCGGATTATCTTCCGGCACCGTCTGTTTCTCCGAGGACGACGACGATGGGGATGGCGGCGGATTTCCCCCTTCATTTTCCACCATCGTCTTTCTCCCGGTTGTCAGACGAATTTCTCATCCCCCGCGCGGTGAAGCTCGTAAATTTGCGGGGATGATGTCGACTAGCTGTACGCTAGAAGTTGCAACGTGTTTCTCGTATTATCCGTTACTGACCGTTTCGGGACGAAATTAACTTTTCTTGTGCAACACTTTTAAATTAGTACTGACCCTAAATTACCTTATTTGCAATGGGATTGATTAAAATCTATATCACAGCTGTCTTGGAACAGAGATACACAGTTAAGAGTCCTTATGTTTCTTCAGTTTATTTCAGAGTTTGTTGTTGAAAAATTTGCTACAATTTATTTAATTAAAATAAATATTTGTTTTATTTTTATTTTGTTTCTTTTCATTAAATCTCATGAAATTTAATTATTGGCAATATTGATACGACCTGTTGCATTCTAATAATTGTAGAAATATTGTTGTACCCAGAATTTACTTTTAATTATAGAATTAAGATATGTAATATAGTAATATAAAAAAAGTGAAAATGCTAAATAATTTAATAATGTCCTTTTAATCATTTAGTTCTACGTTTCTTTGTATTAATCATTTTGCCTTTTCCACTGTTAAGTCCTTGGACTTATCGAAATTGCCGTTCGAGCGACGTTCTAATTTAATTCGCCAAAGAGAAGAATCCATTTTATTTGCGTTTACTTTAGTCGGCTCTGCTGACTCTATGCGAGCCCGCCAGGATAACTAAATGTTTTCTCCTCGTGAAAGATAGATCGAAATTGCGAGGGGAGGAAGCAGTCGCGGCGCGATGAAGATGGAAACGCGAAGGCTTATCCTCGACCTCGATATCGTCGTTCCTCCGACGACGCTCCCTCGAGTATATATTCGCAACTGTTTTCTGCGAATAGCACGCGTGAGATATTTGTCGATATGTACTGTCTTCCGTACGAGCAGGTTTGATCTCATGCAATAATCGTCTAGGGAAATAACTCGCATCGATGCATCATGACTATAATGTCGAACACATATCCCGACGAAATGGATATTAGAAATGGAAACACATTACCGGAATATGGATAAGATGTCAATTTTTTTTTTTTAACTAAATTTAGGATCCTTTCGTTGTTTATTTTATTAAAAAGCTTCTATGCTTTTTCTTTCTCCTATAAGCGCGCTTACACTATCAGATGAAATATTTCCCCGTACGTTTGCGCTATCGGTTCTTTCTCGTTCATTTCGCCGAGAGCACCTCTCTCGTGCGATGCACGAGATTGTAAGATCAACTCGTCCGATAGCATTTATATAGCGAACCGATCGCTGTCCCGATGGACCGTCGAATCGATTCTGCGACCCGAGCGTGCGAAATCGGTGCGGGTGACAATGGCGACCGGTCGAAAATTGCGCGGCTAAAGAGAACATCGAACGTTCCCGCAGCCGGTTCTTCTTCTCCATGGCGAAGGAGAGCAATCGGCGACGCTCGAGGCGTTTCCAATTTCCTCCAATGTGGCCTTATATCGAGAAAAATGCCGCACGCGGCGAACTGATCCCGGCCAGCAAACGGCACGGCACTGCGCCGTTGTTGCCGCGGGAGTCCGAGATTAAATTGAAAACAGACGTGTGTACTCGCGGAAAAAGGAGGAGATGCGACGGTTATTCCACTGGATTGCACAGCGTACGACAAGGACGACGACGTCGACGTCGAAACGTCGACGATCCACCTACAAGATTTTACACCCCCGGATCACGAAAGCACGTGTAAGTAATCCGTACGTGCGGATAGCTCGACCGCTTCGTGAAACAGATTTCCTCTGATCTATGTATCTTTTTGTCTTTCAATTGGGATGTATAGGATCGACCTGCGTACTTTTAAATCCTTTGTTACTATCGTTCTTCGACGAATAATTTTCTTTTTGCGTTTTACTCTTAATAACGAGTTAAATGATTCGGAATGATTAAATAATTTTTTTTTAATTAATTAGAAAAATTAGAAAAGAGTAAAATTGTTTAATAAAGCGCAAATTAACATGATAACCTTTTGTATGCTTTTAAATAATACCTTTGATGTTATCGCTGAGACAATTTTTTTGTAATACACGTGTATTAGTGTGAATAGTATTTTATTAATATCCATATTCTTTCTTTTTTCCAGCATAAACTGATCTGTACGATCATTTAGACTTAGTGAATTTATGATGACCCGAGTTCAATACATTGCAGACATTTACATTTATATATTTGTATTTATTTTTATGAATGACAATGTAATAAATATTTAGGAAAAAGTACTATACAATTTAATTTTAAAATAATGAAAAAAAAATAAGAATGAGATTTATATATAATTAATATAAACAAAGCAGGACATTAAAAACTTATTTTTTATTTATATCCTTAAATTAAAAAAAGTTCCTTTTTTCTCAGAGGTATCGTTACCTTAGCATGTATGAGATGCGCATATACGAGTTGTTTTCCACGCCATAGAATATTGCAGTATTTTTTACTGGTCCAAGAACATTGTTTACATATCAGTCTCTGCTGCAATAATCAAGTATCTACTTTATTAACTTTTTATGAACACCGTTCTACCCTCGTCTACTCGAGGGACAATATGTTCGAGATTGTAGCTTACACTTTTATTTTTGCCAGGGAAGTTCTTTACCTTCGTTCTTCCCAGATATATTTCAATGTTCGCAGGAATTAAATCCATTACATTAATTTCAGATTTGAAAACATTTCATCAAAGCAAAATAATAGCAAAATGTAGTCGCATATTGTTGATAAATTATATAAAGTAATTATATAAATTTAATATTTGTATTATATTTATATTTGTATTTGTATTTTAATATTTGTATTTATTTAAACTAATTGTTCTCAGAGTTTTGCGACTTGTAAATTATTCGATATTGATCTACCAATGTCGAAACTTATTGTCGTCTCTTCATTTTGAGAACGCCTTCAGGGCAATTGCTCCCCTTGAGAGGAAACCACCGCGAATGATACAAGGATTTCCTGTGACATAGTGTGTATTCGATGGGAGAGAAGCGAAATATTCCTATCGATACGACTAATATTTTTATAATATTGTTTCGATGATGTTGCGAAGAAAAACATTGGCAAGAGTTTACCCCCCGATCAGGAAACGCTCGCGGAATAACCGCGGCAATTTCGTCATTTTTCGATCTTAACGTCCGTCGACGGTTTAATCTAGAACTTCGTGCTCGGGAAGGCTTGTCTTTTCCCACCCTTCCTCTCTTCGCCGCACAAAGCCACATTGTAGGAAATTGGAAAGTCTGCCACTGACAGTAGAATCATCTTTCTCTCTCATGATCACGCCGACCGCGTCGACCTACATCTTCATAGTTTTATTTTTGTTTTCTTGGATCGATCCGGATCGCGAAGATACAAGTCTTGCCCGCCTTTCGCGCATGGGATAATACGCTGCCATCTTTTCTCATGTCTTCGCTTTCAATTCAATCCTCGGCCCCTCCGCACCGCTCGTCTGCAAAAGCGTCCGTCTGCTTAACCGCGCCCGTCAATTCGCGAATCGTATTCTTCTTCCCGGCCTTTCGTCGTTTCATAAAAATGGGACGAGAGATCTCCGATCTTGCTGTCAATATTTCATCTTTATAGTAAGATTCCCAAACCAGAAAGGATCGCATCGAATTCTTTATGCTTATTACTTTATGCACTGCTACATATTTATTCTATTTCTTTTAATTTATTTATATTTAATTTATTTTAATTCATGAAAATTACAATTTATTAAAAATCAAAGAACACAATGCGCCTGAAACTTTCTAAAAACTTGAGAAAGTCAATTTTAAAATTAAGAAAATATATACATTTTTTATTAGTATCAGTTAACGTAATTAGATTAAAAGGACTTGCCAAAAAAATAACAATTTTTTTTCTTACTTATAGCTAGATTCAGATTTAAATAGATTAAACTAAATAAAAGTTAATTCTCGTAATGTTATTTGCACTCATTGAAGTCAATTGTTTATTCGCGTTATGTTTATATCCATTTTGTGTAAATTTAGCATACTATATGTTTAAATTTTATTAATAAAAAAAATCACAATTAAAAATTGATTTTTTATCAAGCTGAGAATTGTAGAGGAAGGAAAATCAGCAAGAAAGAACGTAAGCAAGAGTAGTTGTTTAAGAATTATTCTGTACACACACACATATGCATGTGCCATTGTGATTACGCTTGCATTTTGTTGACTGCTTTCTCAAAAGCAGTCGAACGCGTTGGACGAATGTGAGAAAGAAGGCCGACAGAGTAGCTCTGTTGTAGACTGGAGGACTCTCGCTCGTAATACTAAATCAATATCTGGCGGTGGGGTAACCCCGTGTACAGGGTGTTTCGAAGGTATCCGTCGTCACTAGGGCTGACTATTGATTTTCCATCGATGGTTATTCTCATTAGAGTCGAACAAATAATTTCTGTGATATTTAATGATTTATTATGTTATTATTCTATATTATAATTGTGTACATATTCCATTGGATTATGTACAAATAATATTGAAGAAATGAAAGGTTACATGCGGCCGCATGATTTATGTTAGCAAAATTGAATACTGGGATTAACAATGCAGAAAGATCAGGTATTGTAATATTTATCCTAACTGTTGCCGTGGACAATATCGAATACGAACAGCTTATTTGCGGGAGAAATATACGATCGATCCCTTTCGCTTGCAGGAAATGGTTTCGCATTTCGGGATAGCCGCCCGTATCGGCCGACTGTCTGTCAGTATATTGAATCTCGTAATTCTGCATTTTTACAATCGTTTCTGTTTTCGGATGACTCATAGGAGCTTCCGCCTCATCGCCGGAGCTCGGCTCGATTTCGCACAGTAACCGGAAGAATAAATGCACCTGTCTGTCCTCGCTGTCTGCGAAATCAATTTATAGGCTGTCATTAGAGTACTAATGATGTCGGTCCGCGCATGACAAATGCACGTTTTCACGAACTGCGAATCATTGAAAATTGCTGGATCAAATGGGAAATTTCACGTTCATTTTGCGAAGCAGGATTTATGTATTCGTAATCAATTCGCAACTGTAACACTTCGCACTTCTGTAACACAGCAGAAATTTCGAAACTTTCGCGTGCACACACGTTCGTGTCTCGTTTCGCCATACATGTGACACTTATGCTGATAATACTTAATGTATAATCACAATCGTATACATTTGCAGTTTGAAAATAAGCTAAATAAATGACCGTTGGAAAAGTACTCTTTTCTCAATACATGATATTTGTTCTTTCCCCGCTAAGCTAAACTAAGCATATTCAACAAATTGCAAATGTGCGAGACAGACGCGATGCGATTCGATGACACGTTAACTGCGGTATGGTGAATTTATAGATGATGCATCAGAGAACCGGGACACACGTCATCGGCTCGAACGCTGCTTTCGTGCGAGCCTCTCTCATACGAGTTTTCAAAGTGACGTACCACTGTTTGTTCATAAAATTTAATGGATCTCCATGCAAACAGTATCATCGGTATTGCGCGAGCTAGCTCTCTCTCTCTCTCTCTCTCTC